CATCCCCTTAAGGCATTCCTAGCGAAGAAAAATTCACCAAAGTTGAAGACGTTGAAGAGCGGTCAGCGATTTCTTTGACTCTCAGTCTGCTCAGTTCTGGGAGAAGGGGTCGCTGACCTGCCCATTAGGTGGGACTCTGTAGTGAGTAACAATGGTGATTATATTGTTGAGTAATTCCATTGTACGCGGAATAAAAAAGTAAAGCACAAAAAAGTGTCAAACGGCTCAGGACTTTCTTACCATCCTAATAGATAGGAGAACTTTCAAAATCGTTGTTTCTACAGCGCAGGCCTCAAATGCCTGTATAAAGAGTGGCAAGCAGGGTCAACCATCATGTTTGTTCTATAGAAATCGCTTACGACTATTTCCCTTCTTCAGATAGAAATTAAAATGAATGAAACACTGTCAGAGAACACTGTTTTGGTGTATTTCAATGGTTTTCTCTCCCGGTTTGGTAGAACGAAGTTGTTTGGTAAAATCTGTTTCAATGGTCTAACGTTTCGGCTGAATCATCGTCTTTCGAGGCCGAAGGTTCCACCGTTCGAGCGGATTAGTCCGCTGCCATACAAGAGCCCTAGTTATGTAGTTACAAATCGTGCAAATACGTTGAATTATCTTCCTGGTAATATTAACCCTTTGACGACCGCCGTTATGAATGCGTCACTTCACTTCTTTCTAAATTTTTTCATCAATAATCATTAACTCTCCAACAATTTCACTATTAGTAATTAGCGCATTATTCCGCGAATTCGATAATGTATTTGTGTAGTTTTGAAACATAAAAATGCCAAAATAAACCCCTAAAAACGTGTCGCCACCGAGCGAAAGTGTGGCCCACCGGCGGGCCACACGGTCGTCAAAGGGTTAATCGAGTTTTCAAATGCGCACTGGATGCGCAACGCTCCTACTTGTGGTCGCGTTGCGCGATAACGTTGGGAACGCATCCACTGCACCAACACGGCGGAGAAGGGAGCTGCATGAACGTTCTGCACTTAGAGCGAACATTCTCCCTTAAAACCAAGTATTTGCGGAGGCTGAGATAAGTTTGGATTCTACCGGGCTTGATGTTTTTGGCTTACGCCGAACTATGGAACCTTTTTTGTTATATATTAAAGGCAGCGATTACGATAAGGGGAGCGCATCGGGGAAGCATATGCACCACACGAATCAGTTACTTGGCTGCCAAGGAAGCGAGGTGTAGCGCTTTCACGACGAAAGGTGCGCTGGTTGCTGAGCAGGACTTCGAAAGCGCTCCGCCCCCAAAAGCGATCCGCCCACTAGTTTACTTGGTGATTTGGACGAGCTGCGTTGCCAGCAGCGGCACAACTGGAGCAACTCGATTGGAGCGTGGTTTGGCATGGTGCCACCAAACGCGTTGCGATGAACTTATACGTGCGCCGCTTTCTGAGCGTGTACCTTGTCGAATGGGTGGAACAGAGCGGTGAGGAAGAGAAGGGGTTGCCCTTTCTGAGCATGGGACGGAAGAGCTAAGAGTTCGAATCTCGCTTTCAATATGCTTCTAGACGTTTTTTCCAAAGGCAGGCTCAATGAGATTGCACGGTGTTGGGTGGTTTTTACGCAGTATGGCAGATGTTCCAGACATTCCGGAAGAAACGATCATGGTGCTAGAAAGAATCGCAGTTGATGTATGTAAAATTTGAAGCCAGCTTGATAAGTCTTCCTAACAAGTACTGGTCCTGCATCGAAAAATCACCGGGTCAGAAAAGTCGCGTTTGCACTTTTTTTTGGGAACTGGAGGATGACTTTTTTTGAAGACGCGATTTTTTGAGTCTGAGGATCCTAATTACTTGTTTTTTTTATCTCAATTGTGTCGCAATTTCAGAAAAACTATCTTCATACCATGGGCGTTCCTCTCAAGAATGGGGGACACGTATGGTTCAGAGAGAAAGTTTGTATCTTATGGAGGTAACTGCGTTTTTGGTTGATTCTATTGAACGTATAATATGCATTGCGGATCGTAGTTGGATGAGTACGCAGCTGGGATGGGCCGTCATTTACGGACTTTCGCCGAATGGGTATTAGGTATCTCCCGATTCGTATTCTCGATCAAACTGGGTTGCCATTTTACAAGTATCGTGCCTATTCAGCTCTTCGCAAAGCAGGATTCGTCGTATTACGACCAGAGTGAGTCCGATTTGTGGCCTCTTTTAGTGGAATATGACCTATTCTAGCTTTTGACGAGAGAGGCCTTGCCCAGATGTGCTAGACCAACTGGCTGCCTAGTAATGTAAGACTCCTCCCACTTTCTTCACGATTTGGGGCGCGGGCGGCCGAGTAGTGCGGCATCAGCTTGCCTGAGTATTCGACGTTACATTACGTATAGTTACATTACAGACGTCACGATCGTAATGTAACGTCGAATACTCAGGCAAGCTGATGCCGCACTACTCGGCCGCGAACGCCGCGGGTTTGCCGCGGCCGCGCCCCAAATCGTGAAGAAAGTGGGGGAGCCGTAATGTAAGGTCCATGGGTCGTCTAAGTTTGCTGTAAAAGTAGTGGTGGATGTAATAGCGGGCAAAAGAAATAGATATAGTGGTTGTTCTAGCAAGCGTGCGAGTCAGACTCGATGGCATCAGTCCAAAGACATGAATAGGAAGTCGAGAGGGGTTTTCGGGTTGTACAGAAAGTCTTGCGACACTTTGAACAATCTTCTTCAGGGACGGATGAAACTCTACACGTTTGGGTATTTGATTACTGTAATGTATTCTCAGAGATAGTAGAAGAGTATATAAAGGCTTCGCGCAACGTTTTGCAGCTTCAAACTCATCCCTGAATCGAGCCATCTTTTGGCCTATAGTATTCTGCGAACTCCTGTAAGGCTACCCTGTTAGTGACAATGCAACTACCAACTGTGCTGGGTTCAGGAGGGAGAACATTCTACAGGCCACGATGTCCCGGTATTGCTAGAGCTCGTAACTGGAGATGTTACGTTCGAAGTGAAGCACGGTTCTGGCAGGCTGTATGTGGTGATTAATTAGCGTTCACTCAGTTTTCTAGAGGCGCATCCGATCGCTACCAATCGTGGTTTAGCAAAGAAGCTACGGTACACTCTTTTGACAGTAATCGAGATTACGATATCGGTGATAGTGCAACATGTCCGCAATGGGTATCACATGGGTTGCGCCACTTTGAGGAGACGAAGTCAGTGATGGCGGTTGAGGCTTGTCTCCTTCCTCTGCATTAAAGGAATGTCTTCTGACAAAGCTTTAATGACTAATGAAGATAGCTCGTGTGAACCATACACAAAAGTACTAGATTCAACTGACCAAAAGATAAAAGTTGTCAGGAGCAAAAGAGGTCCTCATGAGAATGAGGTTTTCAGTGTTTCTGATGGGATTGCTGCCCTATAGAACGTTGCTGGATAACTCACACGGCGGTAACCCTTGTCGCCTAACCCCCTTTTAGAGACGGCTCGTGTTCCCCCTTGTCGCCTAACTCCCTTTGAGAGACCTACGGTTGGGAAATACTGCAGTGCTCAGTTACCCTACAAATTGATAGCTTCTCACTATCACGTACTTGAGACGCTATGAAAGCCAACTAAGGCGATAAAAACCCTCCGTATGTGGACGTTTATCTTGAAAATGGGAGGCGGCCGTTTTCTTCCATAGAATTGTCTAGAATGAAGAAAGGTAGTGGTAAGCTTGAAATGTATGCCTTAAAAATATGTTACTATTCCTATTATACAGGGGTGGCCAAAAAAAAAGAGACACTTTGCCCATGGCGCACATCATCGAACTTTTCGTCGCACAGGGAGCCGATGTTAATGAAAGTTTTACGGCGGAATATTCCTTAGGTGTTCCCCGTAAACAGAAGCAGGCCTCCTTCACTGCCCCGCCGTCTTCAGAATATGACGTCATCTGCCGCCACCGTCGAGCTCAACGAGGCTTACCGTAATCGCTCCGGCCTGAAGCTGCTACATAATTTCTTCAATGGATTAACTGTTGAATAGCTTCCCAGAGACATTAGCTGTGACTATGCAAAACCGCTTTTGACCAGCGTTTCAGGGACGTCGTAATGGTCTATGGTACCTCGACGACCTCGTTGAGCTCGTACCGTGAACCATGTTTCCGTGGGAAAATCTTCTGATGTCGTCGGTGTAGAAGGCTGTCATGTAAGTTTAGATAGATTAGAATGTGCTCTTCAATACTGAGTTGGGGCAGTCGATTTGATTTAGCAAAGTGTGATTAATGCTGTCTGAAATGTGGAGTGAAGTGTCTCTTTTTTTGGCCACCCCTGTATAGGCTAATGGTGATTGAATCTTTTGATTGGTTGTTTTATTCAATGAAAGAATAACATCCAACTAAAAGGGTTGAAGACTTTCTGGACAACCCTATATAAATGGCTATTGGTGGACTATTAATGTTAGAGCTTGTGGCTCCACAGCACGTGTAAATGGGTATTATGGAGGAGTAAAGCGCTCCCGTTCAGAAGTGTAAATAGGAGGGAGGGAGAGTGGAGGAAAACACAGGTCGGTCTGGCCATTCGCGATGAAGTACTTGAATGATGTCGCGTGGAGGCGCATTTATGAAACAGGCGAGAGGTAAGCAGACTTGTAGCGAAATCTTCAGATTGTGACCTGATTCCGAAATAAGGGGAAATCTTCAATTGTCGCAGTCGCCTGTGAGTACGTATTGAAAACGAACTGGCGAAAGCATCCACATTTTTGTTTGTTTACAAGGCCTTGTGAATCATTCCTATGGTGCAAAAGGTTCGAAGATGGGTTAATGGGCATGATGCTTCAGGATAGATACTTCACACCTTCCTCAAGTTACTTCCAATTTTCAAATGGGGCTAGAAATCTGTCACCATAGATAGGAGTAACACTGAACTATAACATCAGATATGCTTGATGCAAAAAATCCTAAAACGTGATCTGGCGTGATGGACAAATAATACCAAGCCAGCAAGGAACTGTTCGTGAACCCTCCATACAGCCAGCTAATTTGTCAGCGCGACCAGAGTTTTAGACAATTCCAAGAAAAAAATTCCAACACTGCGAGGTATAGTTACCATGAGCTCTGTCTGCCACACCGGAGCAGTTCCACTGCGCTTCTTTGCTTTATAACTCTGTCCAAAGAATCGTTTAGCAGAATTGGAAAACAAGTTTAAGCTCAGCGTCGCGAGGGGTGCAATAAATACATTGCAAATTAGCCGCCGACCTACGTGGACCTTCCCGGTTTTGACAAAGCTTTCGAGTTTCATCAGGTACCAGAAAACTCCGCCGCTTATTGAAAAAATGAAATTATGGCTAATCTTCAGCCGGTGTCGCGTGCATTATCTTCCTCTTCAAGAGCAATGTGATCGCTCAACGCAACCATCAACGTCCTCCAGCTCTCGTTCTTCGAAGGAATGTGTAACAAGGTGAGTGAGTAGTTGAAGCAGCTTTCTACTGGAATCTCAATGTTATGTTTTTAAGGTATCCCCAACACCTCCTTGATGATTTCCCAACAATGAGAGACAGTAAATTTCTCATCTCGTCTATGCTTCATCGTAATTGTCAGCTTATTCCTACAGAAGACTTGAGCGACTTCCCATACAATCCACGCTGTTTCCGAATTTCTTACAAGGTTTGGTTTTAGTTCCGTTACAAACTTCTGCTTTGGTAATTCTCAAACGTAATCTACAATCTACTGAACTATCGCTAGAGTTACTAAATGTTGAAGTTGGAATGAGGTGTTTCTCAAAAATTTAAAGAACATTTACATACGATAGATCGTAACTGGCGACAGGAACGACAGAATGTCTTTCACTGAAACTGGGAGTCCTGCACCCTTCCTAACTACTACGATATTTTCTAAATAATTCACCACAGCTTTAGCGAAAACGGTTTGGTGGCAGTTGACGCCACTTGTCACTCGAATCTGGCTCACATCAAGAACCCTTCAAATCTTTTCATGGTTGGCCAATCGGTTATAAACTCGTTTGTGAAGGAAACCTATTCTATTGCAAAATGCGCATCGCTTCCCGAAAATGTAGATCTGCCCACTTGTGGAGAAATGAGCCATTTGATAACTGTGAACAATGGCTGATCTACATCTTTTTCATGTATGTATTTAAAGCAATCGTCTCTAGAAAATTCTTGCATCTTCACCATCACGAATATGTATGATCAGTTGTGATCGTTAGGGACAACGTACAAAATTCTAGTCAAGAAGGTCCGGTTCTCGAGGAAAACAACTTACGAAAAACCAACACCATGGACGGTCGAGGGTAGGTCTGTCGGAGACAAGGTAACGGAAGGAAAAAGTGTGCCCTGGGCGGCCAAGTATCCAGCGACGCATTAAAGGAGGATTTCACGATAAGAACGAAGGTCAAAGAAGGGTAAAATTGCATAGTTGGGAGCAGGGTCAACCGTTACGTTGGACCGACATTGGACCGACGTTGGACCGACGTTGACCGCTCTCCGCGCCGGCATTCGCACTCGCCTTGCGCGAGCCGTCTGTGTCTCCGTGCGTACGTTCACTCTCGGCATTACTCTCACACGCTAGAGAGCCATGCGTTGGACTTTGTCCAACGGACGGTTGACCCTGGTTGGGAGACAGGCGGACCTCCTGAGGATGGTGACCGACGCGCAATTGCCAGCGAAAGGTTTGACCCCAGCGATCTAGCGTGGCTCACTCTTGGCGCGGTTAGCGGGGTACACCGACTGTCTATCTAATCGCCGCAGGTCTATACGTGGTGATTAGATAGCAGAGAGAGCGTAGTGTTGAAGAGGGCACAGCGATGAGAGTCGCATCAATGCGCAAATCAACGGGCAAGGAAGGGGTCCCATTTCTCGGGTTTCGGGCCGTTTCAATGGTTTCTTCTTCATCCCTGCTCCACTGACCACCTCTACCCTTATTTCCAATGAGCTAACTTTTCATCGTAAATTCTGCCTTTAAATAAACTGGGGGAGAGCTTTGCAATTCAAAGGATAGGGACAAAACGGTCGGTAGAATAGAATGCAGTAGAAAAGCGAAATGCTATTGGTATGGAAAAGGACAAAAAGATTACCTAGGGAAGGGACCGAGAACCAGTGGAATCGCTCCCGTCGCCCAACATGGGTTGTGACAGATGATGATATTGACGGAATTTGAGCGTGTAACGGTCCTTCGTGTTTTCGAATTGTTTACGAAAACAAACACTTTTTGTAATGTTAATAAATTTCTTGTGCCTTACGAGGTTGTTCGGTGGAACTTTTATTAATGGCCTAACGTTTCGACTGAATCGTCGTCTTCAGAGGCCGTCGGTTCCACCCTTTCAGCGGAAAGGGTGGAACTAGCGACTTTTAACTGACTAGCGCTCTGTGTGGCAGCGGACCTTTCCGCTCAAAGGGTGGAACCGACGGCCTCTGAAGACGACGATTCAGTCGAAACGTTAGGCCATTAATAAAAGTTCCACCGAACAACCTCGTAAGGCACAAGAAATTTGTTAAACTTACAACTGACATGCCGAGGTTACAAGAAGAGAGAAGTTGGAGAAACACTTTTTTGTTCTTTTCCTTCTTATCGTGGATGATGGGTTTCAAGCTAGTGATTTGTGGATGAGATTGAATCGATTTTTCCGTGGACGATTTCTTCAAGAAGATTGCAGTAGTGCAGTTCTTGGAGGTCCAGGAAACGTTTTCTAGACAACTTCGGGAACCAAACCCTTTTTGAAGAAGTGAAGCGTCAAAGAAGAATGTAGCGGCATGCAGCTGATTCAAGTCAGCTAAACAATGGCAGATGCGTGACAAACAAATGAAGTAATTCTTTGCAGCCATTCCGAAATTCACGAAAATTGTTACGCCCTGCGTATTGGCCAGATTTTGATACCATTACAACTACGGTATCGTCTTGGAGAGACTACGCTCGCGAGCGGAGATCTTCCATAAAATCTGCGAAAAAGGCTGCCTACATTCGTCGTCAAGCTCGAACACAGTGAGTTACCTTATTAGGTGTATTGTTTGCGAAAATCAGAGTCTTTCAGTGAAACCCGCAGTGAATATGACTTTGAAGTGTTCCTCTCGGATCGCTTCGCACACAGTCTACCATCCCCACCCGCGTTTCGAGTGATTTGCTTCGAGTGAGTTACAAATAACATACTCGGTTTTATTATTTACTAATAGGTCCAGACCAGTCTCAGCACCTTACCTCACAGAGGTGGTTCAAGAAACTCACCAGAGTACGAAAGAACCAAAATGACCATACGCAATTAGAGAAAATTAGCAAAGATTAGCTACAGTCCATACCCTCCCCTTCAAAAAGCGAGAAGAGCGTCGGGAGCAGGCCATACTTCATAGTAATAGCTGATTTTTGGTAAATAATAGTTGTCAATTAGTGACAATTGATAGAGTACAACTGCGACAGGCTAACCTTCATTGGCAGAAAACGTTTACGTTTTTGTAGAGGCCGTCGTCACTTGTGGTAAATGGTCTGCACCCGACGCTCTTCTCGTTTTTTGAAAGGGAGTATACCTCGAAAGTCTGATTAGGCGTTTTTATGCATTTGACGTGGCGGCCGCCACACTTCAGAAAAGTTCGCGGATTAGCTTTTTTCAACCCTTTCCGGACCGAGCACTTTTGCGATAGCGGGCTCTTGTGGCCGGCGCCTTTTTATGCTTACCGCCTCGTGCTGCGCGGCGAATATAAATATGATATTACTTATTACTATGAACCACAACGGGAGGGTGTAACGCAACACAAAACGAAGATATGTAAGGAAACTTGATAAAATATATTATTTGCAGTTACAATCGCTACAACCTTTATGATAAGGACTTATTTGAAAGCAATCCATAAATGATGGTAAGATAGGAGAACGCCCTGTGTGAATAAAAGCTGTTCCCCCTTTAAAGCAACAGTTCAGGGAGGGTCCGAAAATTTCAATGCCACTACTACTGAGGGATACACGAGCCCTAGTGAAGAACATATGCAGTGGAAATAATAAACGAACTTACCTCAGAAACTCAAAAACAGGGTGGAAAGTCCCTCAAACATGGGTGTTCTTGGGGATTTCCCCAATCCCGCCCCCTTGCCGGCCGTCATTGGACGCGTCGGCAATCGTGCTCGTTTTGGGACCACAGGGAAAATTGATTGAAAAATGGAGCGCGTTTACAGCGGGCACGTTCAGACAACTCGTCCAACGTGCGTCTTTATCCATTGCTGAGCGGCAGAGGGAGAGTACCTGTCTAAGACCCTCCCCGACGTTTTTTTCCAGTTTTTCATACATTAATCGTCTGGTTTTCATCTACAACTTCATTATTGGTGGTTTTTTCCCGCGAAACCGTTCCTGAACTGTTGCTTTAAGTCATTGTAGGCTTTCGACGACTGTGTTACCTGCACCAGTTTCCGTCAACAGGTCATCAGTCACATAACACCTTTCAAATGCTTCTGCAATTATAAGTTGAGGTTGGATGCGTGTCCTATACTGAGACGAAATCAGACGATGACAATTACCCGTTTTCTTATCGTTTTCGTTGGAAAAATGGATTCTAGTGACATGTCGAGACTTGCCAATGAATTAGCTTCCAATGTTGAAGAAAGAAGCAACTTTTTGAGTGGCCGAAAATTGTCCTCGATATATTCGACGCAAATATCTCCTCAACTAGGGAGTTTATAGGGAGCTGAACAGACAAATTAGAAGTGCGAATCTTCCGCTTTCCAAAACTTTCTTCCCTCTTTCATGTCCTTTTCTTCCTCAGAACACACTGTTTATGATTCCCTTGACTGCACCCTTTCATCGCATTGCTGATGGTAAATTTTGAAGTATTTTGTATCGCTCCTTAAAATAATTGTAAACCTTTGTAGCTCTCGAAGAGGAGCTTTGAGTTTTGCGTACACACATCGCTTTGCCGGTGACATTCCACTGATGCTGTCGATATTTGACTGTGGATATATTACTTTTATTGAAACCAGCGGAAAGCCTATCGATCTGAACCGTTATCTCGAAAGTCTTGTAAAGGAGTCACAGTGAATAGCAAACGGCTGTACAAGAGGTCCGAGTTTCGTGGTTTTAGTCTGCCATGTTTTTGCATTAAAAAAGTTCCTTGTTCAGCGATCAGCGCAGCACCCTTCTTTCAAGATGTTTCGAAATTGGAGGACGATATGAAGCGCTAGTGTCTACTGGCTATGATTTTCCCTCAACTTTGATTCGTTGATTCCATTCCTCCAGTATCTGCCATTTTTATTCTCCTCACATTTCCTTAAAGGCAAAGGTCGGGATTAGTTGACCAAACCACCCCTTTCGGTCATGCTGTACTTGGTTACGCACCCGTAGAGATGTTCCCACACTCAAAACCCGAACGGGCGCAGTAATAAGGCCCCAGGGCATGTACTATGCGCTATCGCCGCCTGGCCCCGCTACGACCGCCCACCTTGGGATGTGGTGCGTGGCTGGCATAACGTGTGAAATCAGCTAACCAGGAACGGATGGTTGGTCGAAGTGGCCATATGTAAAGAGACCTACACCGGTGGACGCTGATCTCGAATCTGCTTTCCAAATCTGCCAAACGATTTTCCGAATGGAGTTATGAAGGAAAGTAGTGCAGCGGTAGTAGTCCGGGTTCACGTGCGAGACGTCGTAGGATCGATTCCCTGGCGGGTTTCTTTTTTGCCTTCGCT